ATCTGAGTACTTCTTCCACTACTGTTTGTGGTGTTTAATGTAAAAATACAGGTATAAACAGGATTAAATCACCTTGATATTCCTATATTCATGATATTTCTAACAGATTTTTGCAGTGCAGTATTTTTACTCCGTGAACCTTGTTACTACGTCTGTTAAGAGCAAAACAAGATTGTGTCATTAGTGTATGTCGTAGTGTTGCATTAGTGCAACTGTCATAAAACCAACACGGCTGTACCAATCCTTCATTGTTGTGTTATAAGTTTTATCATACTGTGTATACTGAAGTTGGTAAAACGTGTGCAGCAGAATATTAACAAAAACACATACTTTTGGCTTTTAAAATCCCTGTAATGATGTGTTTTTAACGTATGTAATGTACGGTTTTATATTGTTTTGGCTGATTGAAGTTCTTCTACAGTGTCTTGGTATTTAGAAAAGCGCTTTTAAAATAAAAAATTGTATTATTATTATTTATTTATAAGCTCATTCCTAGCACGAAAACAAGGATATCGCTGTAACAAATGGTCAAAAATGAATTAACTAAACTGTCTCTTACTGTTAAGAGAATACTGTTGGATAAAGTGATTTTTAAGGATGGGGGAGATTCGCACAACAACCACAGGAACTTGTTTCCAGAGGATCTCAGGCTTGTTCATGTTCCCCAGCCCTGATATAAGCCCCACTGTAACTGAGCACATGGAGGAGAGCCAGAGCAATGTAAGCATCTGGTTCACATTGATATAAACAGACCCTGTTAGGTAGCTGCTCAGCTAAATGTTCATGTTTCCCCCTCTTCTACTTGACAAAGAGTCTCGGGGTAATTTGTCTAAAGCCAGTGCACAGTATGACTCATCTGCTCTGTATGTCTGAGTCATGTTTCACTGGCACCGTCCTAAAGTTAGCCACAGTATTCAACCGTTTGTTTCTCTGCGTTCCTCTCTGTGCCCGTTCCTTTTTTAAACTTTTCTCTCCCTTCACTCTCTCTCCCTTTTTTCCACTCACTGCTTTTAAAGCCACACGTGTGTTTTTACACATTTTCCCTCCTGTGGATTCAAAACCAACATTTCTCTCACACATTCCCCCCCGTTTCATCTCTTCCCCCCTTTTGTCATTTTATATCTCTTTGTCCACCATTCATCCTTTCCTCTTTGTTGTGCTGTCCATCTTTCTCTCTACCCTCCCTCCCTTTGTCCCAATCTGCTCTAGCTCTTTCTGTCTCTCTCTCTCTCTCTCATTACCATTTTGCCCTCTTTGTCTGTGCCCTGCCAGTGTCAGTGGTCAGGATACTGGACCAGTTACAGTGGACCAGTTACAGCGCCCCGCCCTGCCCAACCCTGAGCAAATACCAGCACTACCTCCCAACCTCTGCTCCCTCTGATTACGACCCAGTGTGGATGTCTGGCTGTGGCTTATTGGGCTCATGACACATGCTGCGTGTCTGTATGAGATATTTTACACGCTCTAGGGCCTGGGGGAAACGATTATGTATTAAACGATTAATCGGGCGACTGTTTTATCGATTGGTCGACTAAATTTGAAGTATTCCCATACCTTCGATGATTTAGGGCGAGCTGTTTTTTTAGGACTTTTTCTTTTATTGGGAATTATGTGAGGAGGTTGCTGTTTCGTCTTCCATTCTGCAATGTTTTGGTCTCGCACGTACACTGCTGTTTAGACACCGCAGTGGGTACAACCTGCTTCAAGAAGTGTCCATAAACGTGTCTTTGTGTACCCATACGCCCTGGAAGTGAACGTGAAAGAGATGACTGATAATGACACTCTCCAGTTTTGTTTCCCGCTTCCTGTAGACGGAGAACTGACGATACCTGGTTCAGTTTCATTTGGACAAACTCATCTTTAGTTACTTCTTCTACCGCTGTCCTTCATGATACAGGCTGTAGTGTAAGTGTAGCTGTAATGTCACATGATTTAAATACACCTTTTGTGTCTGTCTGCACATGATTCCCACAGGAACTAAAACAGGGTTTCTTCTATCTATCACCGTATATTCCTGTCCCACTGAGATTTACCTGGAGGAATCGTACCTCGAGGACACAGAGAGTAGTAAAAGAGTGAGCAAGACATCAGAAAAAAACCAGAGCGTTCTCAGCAGCCCTTCAGTGGAGGAATGAGGCTCTTCAAAATGTCCTCCGACCCACTCCAGGACAAAAAAGACTTTCCAAGTTTAGAGTATGAAAGAGCAATTATAGAGTAAAATGTATCCGGAGATCAAGGGGGTGATTAGCAAGAACGTGTGATGGGATCAGACATTTCCACAGTGAAGGATGAGTGAGTGAACTGAGAGAATGAAGAAGGGGGCAAAAGGAGAAGTGCAGGAGTGCCCTCTGCGTTAATAAGGAGGGGGTTGGTACGTCGCTCAGGAGGGGGAAAGTGCTGAGCCTGCTGCGCCGAGACGCCGTTTAAAGTGGAAGGGAGGATTTGAAGGAATTATGGAACAAACGGCTCCTTTCTGAGCTTAAAGCCTCTCAACGTGCTGCAGAGGAAGAAATGCAAATTGTGACAGAGAGAGAGAGGCGGTTGTTGCTGTGGAGTCCAAATATTTGTGACCCTTGTTGCTGTTTATTTGTTTTGTGCTCACGATAGGATCTGTAAAATGGTTCAAAGCAGGTTGTAATTGAAAAGAAAATAAATACATTATGTTCTCAGTTTTTGTTTAGAAACGCTATTTTAAAGTGAGGTTTGCGTTAATAGAGCTCGCCCTCCACAGTTCAGTAACCACATCCTCCTTTTTTAATCCAAACATACTGAGGAAAAAGAGTCAAAGCTGCTCTCACTGGCCTCTTTAATGTTGGCTGCCGGTTACGTCCGTGATAAACACATTTATGATAATTCTGCCATCGCCCTAGTTGAAAAAATCTCACAGGATACGAACATCAGAGGCTAATGAGCAAAATAAAACACGCAAGAACTAATTTAGCCAGCCTGGAGCTATAATAAACATATATATATATATATATATAGCTGCTGGTTTGTGCTGAATGATAACCTGATGAACTGTTTGAGAGACAAGTGGTGTAACAAGCAGCTTCATGATTCAAGACATTTTTAATATAAATAATAAGACCTCACTTATGGATTGTTTGCGGCTGCTGCAGAAAAATCCCATCCAGTGTGACAATGTGTTGTCTTTGTTTACAGTAAACAGAGACTGTGCCTCTCTGCCGGCAGTGGCAACCACAGCGATGGACTCCTGTTGGGCGTAACCGGGGGGTTGTTGCTATTATTGTCTGTTTATCGACGCGTCTTCTCGGTCGTCGGCCCAAATTTTCACGTGAGGCCTGATGTGAAGAAGAAAGGCTTCAGTGGAAAAACATCTGAGCTGTGCTGATTGTAATAGTCTCTAAACTGATTAACACAATCACATTTAATGTAGTTAAATTGAGTCCTAACGCCCTTTTTGGGAGTGGAGGTTTCTGCGTGCGTGCGTGCTGACTTCCTGTCTGTATCTGTTCGGCGCAGCCACAGCTTCCCTTTCTGTCATCTCATCTCTACCGCTCTTTTCAGTAGTAGTTAGTCACTGCTGTCTGCTGTAGTGCCGCGATATCAAACGGCTCATTCAAACCATAATAAGTTAGTTCTCCTGAGACCACGAGCCTGTTTATTGCAGAGGAGGCACCGTATTGTAAAGACAAAGGTTAGTGGGGTTTTATTGTTTTAGTTTTATGAAGCAGTCATATAAATGCAGACTGTAACGGCTGTCACAGAGCTGAATAACGCCCAGAGGAGTGGATAGACTTATTTATAACTCTCAGAATTGGGTAACTTTCTAACATCTCACTTGTAATGTTTGTGTCACCACTTGAGTTGGTTCAGCAGAACAAAGACGGAGAATCCACAATGACAAATGAATGACATACAGCACGAAAGACTCAGTGGAGTGAAATGAATCACTACTTCTTACGGCGCTCTCGAAATAAGAATATATGCAAGTGCTTGTTGTCTTTAGGCGGACTGCTGCATTACATAGTGTATTATTCATGTACAAGAGGCCGTAACTGTAGGCAGAGCAGTGCTTGGCAGTAGAAACATGCATCTTACAGCGACATCTATCATAGATATTTGACTGGGAGAAGTTGATGTAGGTAGAATACGTCCGTGGCTTTTTTAAAATTAACTTTGGAGTCGGCGCAGCAAACAGTAAAGCTCGTGAGCTGTGGTTTATGTTAAGAACACACTGACCAATCACACGGCTCATTTTAGGATCCCTCTTTATGCTTGTGTGGATTTGTCTGTTGGTGTTTGTGTTTTCTTTGCGCCCTGTGAGTGTGTGAGCAGCACAATCGCTCCTGTAGATTAGCCGGATTACAGACGGCCAAGATTAAGCAAGAGAGCATCTGTCAGAGACTTTCTGCCATCATTACTACATCAGCTGCTACAGACCACTACTGTTACTGCTGCTGCACTGGTAACACCTTTTAACTGCTGCTAACCACTACTTCTGTTACTGCAGCAGCAACCCCTAGTACCACATCTATGTTATTATTTACTGCTGCTAACGCTAGAATATAACTACCCACCGCTGCTGATGTTACACTTATGTACCAGAGGGGTTGAGTGTTTCTTCAGGGTTCCTTGTATTGTTGTAGTTGCAAGAAACAGTCACAAGAAATGATTACACTTTTATAAAATATATTACTATGCTTACAACCTCCTAACCAATATTTTGGGGGAAACGTGTTTACATTTATGTATTTAAGTGTGTGTGTGTGTGTGTTGGTGGGTCTGGGTTGATCATTATCATGCTCGTAAAGTATGCATTCGTAGTCAGTTATGATGTGTTGGGTGTTGGAACTTTTATGGGCTTGAAATACTGTGTTGGTCAAAAAATAACTCAGTAGACAGAAAATATTTAGTATTTAGTTGAAGTTAGCGATTGTTTATCTTTGTGTTGTTTATTTATTTTTATTTTTTCACTTTTCTTTTGGCATTTCGCTTTATGTGGAAAGTGTGAGGAAAGGAGTGAACGACATGCAGCAAAGGCCGGATTCAAACCCGGGCCCCTGCACTAAGAACTCAGCTTTGGAGTTATTTTTAAGGAGTTGATGCATGATGCATTTAGTCAGTAATTGATGGAAAATTATATTTTATGTAATTTTATAAAAATGAGCAGATACATTTTAAACACAATGCAACCGACTTCAGTCCATAAAGTTGGAATCGTGATGTGTGTGGCGCTGTACTGAGTTTAAGGATCAATCATGTCTTATTATTTTTCTCTCTGTGTCTTTCAGTCATGTCTCGTAGGAGTTCTCGCCTGGTGTCCGGCGGCTACTATAACTCAGATGAAGAATCTGATTCAAGCAGCGTGACAAACATATCCTACCGTGAAAACCCTGTCAAGTATGTAACTCTAACTCTGTGTGTGTGTTCATGTGTTTGTAGCTTGGATTTTAGTCAGCAGTTCTTATTTACAAACTGTAATGTTAAGAAATCTTTGTCCTTTGTCCTCTGCCACCTCCCCCTCCTGTGTGTGTATGTGTGTGTTGTCTTGTTTATTGTCATCAGGGTTTTCAAGAAGAAGGCGGGTACCCGCAAGGGCCGCTCACATACCCCCACTAGGACCAACAGCAATGCTAGTTTTGACAGCCCCGAGCCGTCAACCACTGCAGGCCAGTATGATGGTAAAAACAACACATCATCCCATCAGTCCATATCAGAGTAATAATGGCATATCCTGTCCTACCGATCTACCTATCCTGATATCCTGTGAATACAAAAGTAGCAGTGCTGAAACAATTAGGTGATGAATTGCTTTTTGAAAATCACATTTATAAAGCAAAATTGCTAAGCATTTACTGGTTTCCAGCATCTGTGTGAGGAAATGTGAGTTACCTTATTACTGAGTATTGGACCGTTTTCACAATGGGCTCCGTAAAATTGTGATATGAAAGTTTTTTCTGGTATTTTATAACTTTAAAACGGAACTTGTTACAAAACAATTATACTTATAATCCCCTTTTAGCAAACCCTCGTCACTGGTTGTCTGTCCTTTATGACCAGTTCAGCTAAAGAGGTGAAACTATCAGTTATTTCACAAGAAAAAGGAGATTAGAGGGAAGTCAGAAAATCTAATTTAAGTCTTGCAACAAGAAAATAAATGAATTATTATATACATATTCACAGCCGACTGCTTTCTCTTTGTCTTTCCACATCTTCCTTCTGCCTCTCAGGCCTGAGTCCTTCCCCCCAGAGCAGTCCGACCCAGCCGATCACGAGGACCGTACCCTACGTTTCCACCATAGCCACCCCTCGGCCTGCCCTGACCCCGTCATCAAGCCGGAGTCAGACGCCCACACGCTGCCCCTCGGTACCTCCAGAGAAGAGCCCCCACGCTGGGCTCTGCAGCTCCAGCAAACCAGGATTACACTTCAGACCCAACCACAAGGAGCTGAGTCAGAGCGGCGTGGACAGCTCAGGGTACTCGTCCTCTGAGGGCCCTCACAGGAAGCCCGCCGCCGCCAACACCACCAGTAGCACCAGTAGCAACCATGGTAACAGTGCGGCTCCCAGGACTGGATACGGAACCAGGATCAGCAGTGCCTTCTTTAGTCTAATGGGTATGGAGTATGGAGGGTGTGTTTCTTTGTATGTGTGTGTCTGTGCATGTCTATATGATAATCTCACTGTTTCCTGTGGTTTTTCAGACTCAATCTCGTTGATGGCCGTCGCAGTACACTCAAAAATAATGCATCGGGCAGCTTTAGGTACGATGTTGGTGTGTTTGTTTATTTTTATGTATACATGCACATACTGAGTGAGATTATGATCAGTATGTACGGTACATGCTTGTGCTTGTTTTTCTAGCTTTGTTAAGAAGATTTGTTCAGTACATGTCCACGTTTCCTCACGTGTATACTGCTTTCACATGTCAGTAGGTTTGTGTTTTCACAGTTGTTGCATGTGATCTGGCTCCAGCTTATCGAAATCCCCTGCAAATCAACTTTTCTTCTTGTCCCTGCAGCTAATACTTCTTCACTCAGCAGTCACATGAAGAAGGCCTGTGGTCTGCTTCTCCTCCTCCTCTTCTTACTTCTATGTAAGTGACATAAACAGACTCAGGTTTGCATGTTTCAACCACAACTTCGAGACACATCAACACCTCAAGGGAGTGTTAGTTGTGCTGTCTTGAATGTTGATGTCATCTTGTCCATGTTTCCTTGCCAGAAAGAGTTTTGTTTATATTTAAGTATATTTTTTTAAGCACCTCCTGCCATTTTGTAGCGTGACAATGAAAATCCTATAAGACCTACTTTCCTGAAGTCATCAGAGATTAGTGGCACTCAGGGTTTTCCCCCAGGACATTGGTTAGCAGAGGTGGTAGCGTCTGTGCCAGACTGTGTGTGTTTGACTTGCGCAGCAGCTCGGCCTGGTCTCCTCTGCTTGTGTTTTGGGTTTTTCCTCACACATCCCCACCTCGATGTGACTGAATGAGTCACAGTAAAGTCATTACAAGTTTCACATGTCAGGGGCCTTTGATCTTAGTCAGGCGATCTTTTCTTTGTGCAGACTGTGTGTCTGTTTCAAAGTGCTGTTCTTAAGGCGCCGTTCCTCCTGTTTTCTCTAGGTATTTGGTTCCTCCTACCTTTGTTGACCTCTTTCCTCTCCCGCATGACTGCCACAAAGACCCTATCACAGACAAAACCTAAGAGTCAACCTGTTATCCCTGCCACTCCTCCTCCTCAACTGAACACCATGCATCCTACACCTGTGGTGGTAGGGCAGATCATCTTCATCTCACTGGTTATGTGTGTGTTTGTGGAGGTTAAATTGAAATTGATTTAACTTAGCTATTGATCCTCAAACTTATTTTTGTTATTGTTTTGCAAGCCTGTACATGAACAATGTAGTATTTATTTCCTATTCCACATTTGGGAATACAGGCATAATGATGAAGACTAAAATAATGCACAAAGCCATAACTAACTAAAATGTTTTTTAGATGAACAAACATCTATTTATTTGGGGATTGTTGGCATTAAAGGTGGGGTATTTTGTTACCTGAATGTATTAAGTCTTTTTTGTCCTCTAGGATCCAGCCGTTGTGTCTGCTGCTGTAGAAGCGAAGATGCGCCATTTTATGGTAAGACACAGATTGTCTGTAAAAATGAAGCCTGCTCAATATAACAAAATAAAGAAAGTAATGACAGGAAGGGGCTAAAATAACTTTGAGGCCTCATATGTAAATCCAGGTTCCTGTTTCTGGAGTGTAACCTGTATCTGTGTTTGTTGCAGGGGGAACTGCAGTTGAAGCACGAGGAGCTGCAGCTGAAGCAGGAACACCTTCTCTCCCAGGTGAGAGGAACTCACTCTCTGTTTCTGATTCTGTGGTTCTGTGTCTTCTCTCATTCCTTTCCTCTTGTAGTTAACAAACTTGCTCTGTGTGTGGTTAAAAGTCCTGCCTGGTGAGGCCAGGGTGGAAGCAAGACAGGGAGTAACAACAGGGTCAAAACCCAGAGGGACATCTTGTGGTGGTGATGTGGAACTGCAGAGACAATACAGGCACATTTTCTGCAGGATTCTGTAGCTTTCTAAGTTTGTATTGTGTAACTCACGAGGACGCTGGAAGTGCAAACTAGTTCTCCAACTTGCTGTTGCAGACATCAAAGGCCTCATTCAGGATTTAAATTAATTTTGTTACCTATAAAGGCAGAATGAGTAGGATTTGTCGGTTGCAGGTGGTAAACAAACAACAAAGGTTGATGCCCAGAAACAAACCAAAGTCAGCAAAATATGAAAATACAGGCAGAGTGAAGGGTGTCTGCAGATACTGACACCACCACACACTTCTAGTGGGTCATATGTGACGAGTGAGAGGAATCATTTTGATTACTTTTGCATCTATACATTGTTTTTAAATCCTACTCTTTCTGCCTTTAAACCCATTGAATCTGTCTGGGTTTTAGGGTAACAGTCTGGTTTGGGTGGTGATCAATCTATCAATAACTCCTTGGTCCAGCTATATCTGTCCATGTATTTTAATAGAAAAACAATTCCTGTGTTAGACTTCTTTCTGACACTAACAAGCTAACCAGCCTCCTTGCAAGGGTAACTTATAGGATGAAGATGCACTCTGTATAGAAACCTGGCCTTAGAGTGTGTTTGAGAGTGACATCTGGGCTTCCAAGAGTGCACTTCTCATCAGTCATGTAATGTTTAATTAGACCCATGACGCCTCTAGAAGCCTCTGCCGCCCAGCACATCTCCTTGAGTCCAGTAATGACTGACCCTCTCTCATCTTTCTGTCTCAGATGAAGGAGAGACTACAGCTCGAGGTGCAGGACATGAAAGCCAAGCTTGAGGTTGTGGACTCAGATGGTCGGATGCGTCTGGAGCAGGAGCTTGCTGGCTTGGGCAAGCAGATGGTGGATTACCAGACAGACAGCCGCTCTGCTGCTGCCAGCCTCAGCCTCAGAATCCAAGCTTTAGAGGCCCAGAATGCCGAGGTAATAGCGCTGGTGGAGATGTACACAACTGATAGACTCAACATGTTTGTAAGGAAAGATAGAGCCATTCATTAACCCTGCCTCTTGTTCATGTTATGTGCTAACCTGCTTCCTTGAGATTGTGCATCTATAATGTGACTGCCTGTTTCTTGCAGCTGTCCCAGGAGTGGTCGTCCATCAAGCTGATGCCTCCACCCGCCCCTTGTCCTGATACCAGCACCATCCCAGTCCAAAACCATCTCACCCCAGAGCTCCAACAGGCCATGGAGAAGTGGCTCACTGACCGTATCAAGGTGTGTGTGGAGGGATAGTGACTGTAGATAACTTTCATGACATCTTACAGATGCTGAAACCCATCAATCTATATCAATCAATATAACCACAGTTCTAGAAAATATTCTGTTGTAAAGCTTATTTCCCCTGTCATGTGGTAGTTTTTGAGCTTCTGAATAATACTGCTTATATGATCTGATTTCAGTACTAATGTGTCTGTACTTTTTGCCATATGTTGATACATGCATTAGTGCACACATACTTACGGTATGTACTGTATGTGAATGCGATTCAGGAGCAGGATGCTATCAGGCTTGGTGACAAAGGAGGCTCAGAGTGTGGGCGCCCCATGGCTGACAAAATGCCCGACTTTGCACTGGAGACTCAAGGTTGGGAACATCTGGATGTCACTGTCACATGGCTTTATTTAACAATATTTAATTCTGTGTGGTCACGCTTGCAGAAATCTAGAGCAAAAATATTGAGGTAGTAGAAAAATGTGTGTGTGTGTGTTTTCGTGCAGGTGCCAGTGTGATCAGTACCAGGTGTTCAGAGACATATCGTATTCGTTCAGCATGTGTGACCCTGTTTGGATTCCCTCTGTGGTACCCATCTGAAAGCCCACGCACTGTTATTCAGGTATGATGTTCCCTCAGTGTTTTCATTCTGACATACCACTTCCATCCTATCTATCATTTCAAATCTGTCTCATTCCCCACAGTTAGTCATCATCCATTACCTTCCATTCTCATCTATTTTCTGAAGACATCTGACCTTCTTGTCTTTTATAATCTGCCCCTTTTTCTTTTCTTTATCTGTGTTTTTAGTCAGAAAAATATTATACACAGTTTTTCATACTTGCCAGACACTAATAGTTGTGTTTCCACCTTCCTTCCCAGGGCTACCCAGTGCTGCTCCCAGGGAAATGTTGGGCGTTTCACGGTGTCCAGGGCACTCTTGTGATCTCTCTGTCACACCCCGTCACCATAACTCATGTGACGCTGGACCACCTGCCGCGCTACAACTCCCCCACCGGACGCATCGATTCCGCCCCCAAAGACTTTGAAGTTTATGTGAGTGGCAGAAATTCAGTATGGCAGCCCAATTAAACCCTGTTTAACTGACAGATACAATAAAAAGTTGAGATTATATATTTATTTATTCGTTATCAGTCTGACTGCAAACAAAGTTTGGATGATTGTGGATGTGGCATTTATCTCATGTAATATGTCATTTAGAAATCAAATAAAAGTATAATATTCTTTACAAAACAGTGACCTTAAGATGAACATTTAGGCAAAGCTTGCATTTGTAGAGTAGAGTAGTACGTAGTGGTAGTAGTGTTGGCCAATGTGGATGGGAAAATATTGGCTATTAGCTTACATAGAACACAGCATGTAGGCTGCTTAATGGAGCTGCATTTTATAGTTACTATTAAAACAAAACTGTAATTGGAGAAATCATCAGAGACTTTGTTTTAGTCATAATCATTCTGATTAGAAGGTGTAAATGCTTTGGTCATCCTCTATTTTTCTTCATTTTAAAGCCCTGTCACTCTGAGAGTAAACCATTCTTACCGCTCTGACGTGGTTGTGATTTCACTCTTTCCCAGGGAATGAAAAATGACACAGAAGAAGGAACACTGCTGGGGACATTCACTTACGATGAAAATGGAGAGTCAACGCAAACGTTTAAGCTGCCTGTGAGTTCAAACTGTCAGATGTGAATAGGACTTGACTTAACTCCTTCCTCTTCTGCATACAAAGTGTGTGGCTTGTGTGAGCTTTTGTCACTCGTGTTAAATGTTGACTGAAAATGTATTCTTCTCTTTTATTCTCTTCTCCTCTCCCGTGCCCCCACCCCGCTCATGCAGAATCCCAGTGACGTGGTGTATCGATTTGTGGAGCTGCGTGTCCTCACTAACTGGGGTCATGTGGAATATACGTGTCTTTACCGCTTCCGTGTGCACGGACAGATCTCTACATGAGACACAAGACTAACTGACCGTGACGTGACAACTCATTCCACCATGTCAGAAAGTGCATTTGACATGTACACTATTTAAATAGTAAAATTCTGTTGGTCGGAGGTGTGTTCAGGGCCAAATGCTACTGAAAAAACCTTTAGTGTTAAATAATCACTCCTGTTTTGGTGTTTTTTGATTGCTTAATGTGACTGAAATCATAAAAGGGTTTGTGCACAATTTAAAGTGCAAACTTGGCTTTGAATAACTGTACAGAATGAAGTGTAAAATATGTTTCTAAAAACCAAAAATCTACCTGGTAAAACCATTTTGGAGCATAAAGTTCTGGAAACTTTATGCTTTTGGCCACACCAGAGTGCCACTGAATAAATTTTAACTTGTGTTATTATTAATTATTGTTGCTATTTGTTTTTCCAACTTTGCATTCCTCATCAAATGAAATTTCTTTACATTATACCACTGAGCAGCTGCAGTGGACCAGCTGAGTGTTAAATGTCTTGCTCGAAGGTACTCTAACAAGTGAAAGAATTAACTTTACTGACCCTGGTTGCAAGCTTGCACACATCAGCGATAAAGTGACATTCATGAAGTTAAAAGAATAACAATCATTTCTAAAGCACTAAATTAATTTCAATATTTACTATCTTTACGATATAAATATCTAGTTTTTGAAGTTCTCAATCACACATGCTAGTTCTGTTGTTTTCGAGAGTGGTTGAAACAGCTGTTACGTCATTTTTTATGGGACAACTATTGGTCGTTGCTGATGTTGTAACTGATGGGATGCACCATCCTATGAACAATAGGAAGAAATCGTACAGAGGGCAGCAGTGAATGTTTTTTAATCAGTATTGTTTGTTATTGTTAAGTTAAATTTGGTTTAATATTCCTATGAAAGATCAAATATGCAGCTTTGTAACTTTTGTTTTCTCTTTTGAACTTGTCAGTTTTGATTTTATTACTTGTACTTGAATACTTGAAACTTCTTTTTCTAACCTGTTTGAAAGATGTCATGTTGACTTCATGACATCTGTGTTTCTATTTCCTTGTGCATAACACCATTACATTTTATAACAACCAGGAAAGAAAGGTGTTATTTATTTGTAAGATGAGAACATTCATTTATGAATTCATGTTTCAAGTCATATTTTTATTACTTTTCCAACATGCCAAGACATGGTAAATCATCAAGTTTACCATTCAGTGTCTTTAAAATACATGTTCACATAAATATTGTTTGGACTGCACACGTCAGAACTGTGTATTCAGTCATTTCTCATGTAGACCTATTCTTGGTTTCTTTGTTGTGCAGTACATTTAGACAGGAGGTGGTGGAGAAAATGATAGATATTAGAAATTATGCACTAGAGGTAAATCCAGGTTAAATCCATCATTTCTTGCTCTTTTCCTCTATTAGATACTAGTCTTAAAAGAGATGTAGAAAAAGGCAAATGAGATAGAGAAGCTGTTTTACAAGACAAAATCATGTTTTTAACTTTTTGAGTGGTGTGGGTTGGAAATGAATTATTTTGATATAATTTGTGCAGGTTACAGACATTTATAATCTTAATGTATTGCATTTTATATTTAAACTGATAATTCAAGGTAATACAAGAACACAGTTCTAATATTATTATTTTTTTTACCTTATTTGTTGAATACCTTGATTGTGTATAACCATGAATTAATATTTGCCGCTCCTAAGAATCTCTTGATCTTCCTCACGGTAGACACACTTTTAATATGTTAAATTCAAACTTGATTGGCTTTTGAGATGCGGATGATGTCAAATGTGGGTTATTATACACTTTAAACAGTACAATGTCTCTTATATCACCTAAACAACATTTGTTTTCATATTTAAAAGCTGTTGATCAGCCTGTACAGTCCTAATGCTTGTATCTTTGTGCGCATGTGCTCTTTCCTGAACACACAGTACAGACAGTGTAAGTCTCTTAGATTCTTGTTAGTGTAAAGCTGTACAAGAAAGACAGAGAATGCTTTAGTTTATCACTTAATCAGGTTCACGTTCTCAGTTTAAAAGAAGAGACAGCTTAAACAATAAATTCAGATGTTCATTGCCATTGCTGACAATTGTTTTCTCTCTTCATTCAGCACATTCGTGTGTCAAATACAGATACTTCCTGAGGTGTTCTCCAGAGTATTTGACTATTGATGCCTATTTGTAAGCCAAATTAGGATGTTTTTCTGATGAATTAAATTAAACATTGTAATAATTTTTTTGTCATAGTATTTATTGTTTTAGAAAGTATTTTCTAATGTTTCGTGTCTTGTTGGGTGAAAACATACTTACTACAGAGCATATTCAGAGGCACTATGACAATATACAAATATAGTAAGACATACAGTGATGACCACTACAATGTTTGTCACCAGAGGTAATTATGTAATTTCTCCAAAATATCTAATTGTATATAAATTAGGGATGAGCGAGTACACCAATATCTGTATCTCGTCAACCAATTAAACTACCTGTATTCATATCTATCCTCATATTGGGCGGGGCTTAATCCAGAGGAGTGTTGGGTTAACCGGGTGTTAATTTAGGCCGGTAATTGTTATGGATTGTACAGAAGAGCCTCAGAATTGAGCTTCAGAGCATTGTTTATTATCACAAGTGTAAGAGCTATTTACAGAACAATTCTCTTTGTTACTATATTAACAGTATTAATAGTAGTATACGGATATTAACGCTTTATACTCTACTCGCTAAACCCTAATATTAATCAACAACAGGTACAGCCCAGGTCTTCCATTACATTTGGTTCTCCAATTCATGAGCTGCTCTAAACTGTAGCCACAGTTTTTGCCTTAGCAGTTGAGCCACAGTGACATCCTATCTTGGACAGCTGTTTGGTCCGGACCAGATAACTCAGAGGCTGAACGAAACTGCCCATGGAGAGAGCAAAGTAGCTCACACCAGTGAAGACTGAAAAGGGCTTGAAATACCAGGGACCATACTCCTTAAGCAGGTACTCGCCAAGTGGGGGGAGGTAGTGGAAGTTGACCTGCATCAATGCGTTCAGCACTATCTTGAATGCTCGCTTTTTCACTGGATGGAGCTCCTTTTTGTTGGGCCCTGTTTGGCGGAGGGACTTGAGAATCAGGATGTTGCAGGTAGATATGATTGCCATGGAACTGCTCAGGAGCACGAATATCACAGTCCACTTGAACCTTGAGGCGACCTTTACCAGACCACAACAGCCAGTAGTTATGAAGCCCACCACCGAGCACAGCGACAGGCGCAGTTTAGGATCCTTAAGGCGAAGGTAGACCAGTGGATGACAGACGGCCATGTAGCTGTCGAAACCCAACATGCAGAGCAATATCGGCCCTCCTCCTTGATTCAGACCCCAGGCCACGAAGTTAGAAGCCTCCATCGTTTGATTGCACACGAAATGGATGTACTCGACGAGGAACATGAAGCAGAACAGCATGTTGAATAGTGCCTGGTTGAGTGTGAAGATCTCTGAGGTGGAGCAGATACCGGGTTTGTGCAGCAGGAGGCGTATGACCAAAGCGTTGGTTGGTATCCCCAGTGGTGGCACTGAGACAACAGTGGGCAGAAAGTACCAGACAAGATCACTGACCCCCGGTACTGTGTGGTTCAGACTGATGGTTATGTTATCCTTTAAGTTTTCCATCACCATGGCTTAGTTGAGGACGAGGTGCTGTCTCTGTTGAATGTTTAAGTTGAATATCTATCAAGAGAGAGGATACTGTGACTGGTGATCTGGTGAACATGTTAGCAAAGAGTTGACATGGAGCAACTTTAGCATAGAATAGCATTCATTTGGAGTTAATCATGGGAGCTGTAGAACCACATCACGCATTTTGACATTTAAGGTCCAGTGTGTAACATTTAGGAGGATCTACTGGCAGAAATTGAGTGTAATATTAGATATGTTTTCATTAGTGTATAATCTTGGAAAATAAGAATCTTTGTGTTCATTATCTTGGTAAAGATTGTGTAAAGGGATATTGGTGTTTAATCCTATGCAGGTCAGTTTTGTCAGGTTTGTAACACCAACACATGTTGCTCCCTTCACATCCAAAAAAACAACATCCTGCTATATTATGTTTGATGCCTCCACAAACATTACATCTTTACTTTGTATAAATTTCCATTTATCTTATGCCAGGTGTTTTTTGCACAGTCGGTCTAGCTTGTAAACTTGATGCAAATTCACTCTAATGGCACGTATTCAAATCATTGTTGTTATTGATTAGTAAACATGTGGTTGCGCCATAGAGGGTCTTTTCAGTGTCTTTCAGCATTCGTCATCATTCAGTTGTCGTTTCTGACATATCTTTCATTCAGTTTACATAATCTCTTGTGCGCTGCCCAATAAAAGCACAGTTAAGGTTGTCTTTTGCTGGTTGTCTCTGCTTGAGCAGATAAGGACTTTTTATTACCATCATCAACTGTGAAGCTGCTGTGAATTCAACCCATGGATATTTAAATCCCACTTCTCTGACATTTAAGATGCTGCTTTCAATATTAATTCTAAAAATATAATTTTCAGTAAACCATAGATAGACCTAGTGATGACAGCTTCTCCACACAGAGCAAAACTGAGCCAAACAGTAATCATTTTTACTTGTTTTTATGTTTTCACATGAATCACCAATCACATTATACATTATAATCACAATCCCTGTAACTTGTATTTGTGCATAATACATACACATACATACATACATGATGCAAAATAGGGGGGGAAAACAAAACATACATTATTTTTATTAACCAAGCAAAGTAGCTGTCATGTATTTGATTTATGTTAATGAAGTCAGTGACTAATGAAGTGTTATGGGCAGCAGTAGCCCAGTGTGTAGGGACTTGGCTTTGGGAAACCGGAGGGTTGCCGGTTCAAGTCCCACAGACGCACAAAATACAGAGTGTGGGACCTGGTAGCTGAGAAGGTGCCCAGTTTCACCTCCTGGTGTGCACTGCAAAAGGTTGCCCTTGAGCAAGGCAACCTAACCCCTAACCTACTCATGGGGTGCTGTTAATGTGGGCAGCCCCCAAGCACTCCATAATCTTCTCCCTGTTGCATGGTCCACAAGTGCATGAAGTGTATTTCAGCATTTGTGTGTGTATTTAAAAAAAAAAGTGAAAAATCTTCTGTTATTATTGTATAGTTTTAAATGGTAAACTATCCTAACAGGCAGGCTTTGGGAGTAACGGATTACATGTAGCAGACTTTTATAATCAGGATACAAAAAAGGTAAGTGTAATCCTTTACAGTTACAGAAAAAGATGTGATCACATTATAAACGTAATAAATGGGGATAATGAGTAGGATTACAATTTTAAAATAAAGAACGGAGGACATTTTTGATGCAAAAAAATAAATCTTGGTTTCCATTTTCATTATACATTGTTCTGTTGTCTTAATACTCGTCATCTTATTGATATTTATTTTCTCTTAAAGTTATCTGAAATTAAAGTAATCAAGTTACATTACTTTAATGTTGTAATACTTACGTTAGGTTAGGTAACCGACTACATTTTTTAACAGATAATTAGTAATTGTATTAGATTACATACATTCAAGTAACCCTCCCAATCCTACCAACAGGAGACACAGCCATTCATTAAATGAAAAGGTTTGGTCCAAATATGAGATATCTTCTGCTTGAGTAAAGTGACGTATTTCTATTTTTTTCTCGTTACTTAATTGTGTAGATACTCAATCATAAACTTTAGCTCAAGCCCAAAATGGGAAACTGTGGGATTTCCTTTTAGCAAAATATTCATATGGTAATTTTGCAAAGCTAAGTGAATGAAAAAATGGTTCCTTCATAGAAACATCAAGCACTTTACCTTTTAGAATTGACAGTGCTCTTCACCAGGAACGTCAGGATTCAGGCATGAGATCAGTGCTGTGGTTGAAGACAGACTACCTCCTGACAGAAACCAGGCTCTTCATGGAGATTTATTTCCTACATTTGAATACCCACAGTCAAAACTGACAGACGATATTTTCAAAACTACCACCATGTTCAATCTATTTGTGGATTGATGTATGTAAATGCAGTGTTGTGTATTTTATAAGGCACTGCAAATGCACATCAGACCAAAGAACAGCATCATCTGCATACAGTGAGGCATGAGGGAAGGAGGCACATGGAGAGGCATCCTTTGTGTCTCTTTATGGGCTTTGCACTTATGCTCAGTCTTCAAATACTGCCCATTAATGTAATAATGTGATCTTTTGATAGACAATTTAACCTTGATTTGATTTGACAAGAAAATAAACCAAGTAGGTAGTAGCAACAAGGCGGTAATCTCAGGCCCCTGTGTGTATTTACTTATTATTGTGACTTTCCTTTACATGTATTTACCTCTTACATTGTATTTATAGCATGAATGAATGAATGTTGAATGTTTTAAAGTTAGTGTATCGTTATTATCTCCATCTGTAGTGTTTAGAGTTGTGAATCTGGTTTACTTGATCCCAACTAGCTGTCTATGCCCTTTAACTTAATCCTGTCAGAAAACAATATATTAGAATTCACATCCATGCCAACAACAAAAATGTGAATCAACCTTAAAAATACAACACTAAAACCCAATCTTTACTGTTTAACAAGCAAAGATTACAGATTTACTTATATTTACCCTTTTCCTTCTCTTCTAATATTCTTACTTAACATCTTATGGTGTTTGTCGTATATTACAAAAATAGTTTTAGGATTTTGTATTGCACTTAGATAAAGCTGAATGTGAGAGAATTTTTTATTTTTTTTTAAATGATAAAAATCTAATACTATCCCTGTTAGTAGTATTAGTTGAGCTCCAACCATTCTGGATCCTATGCTTCCCATACTGCAAGTTCATAGCATTCTTCACTAGAATGCCCACTTCCTTCAAACTCCACACACTCCCAGTGGTGGTTGCATAATGAAACATTTATAAAACACACAGTATTATTTATGTAAGCAGCTGTTTGTCGTGACTTTGCAAGCCTAAATTCCCAACAGGGTTTTTCTCAACACAGTTAACACAGTCTGGGCACATTAGTAACACCTTGCATTATATTTCTCATTTATGCTTACCTTGCATCACCTGTTTACTGAACAGTGTACAGTTGCATCAGTGAGAACAAATGTTCTGCTGCAGTGCTGCTGTAGATAAAAAAAATTACCCACAGGAACCAACCTGGGATAAGATTACGCTTTTATAACATAAACCATAAATGAGAAAACATTAAAACCATGCACAGGCCAACAATAAAACCATAAGATTCATGTTTTTATAGTGCAACTGGGAATATGCTTAATGTTTATTAACTCAAACACCTTCTTGCCACACAAAGGGGCAATTTAAACGGTGGTACAGTACAGATAACAACACTACATTTATCAATCTGAAGCCAGAGTCCCCTTCAGACATGAATTACAGACAGACAGAGAAAGAGAATATAACAAGAACGCCATTCAAATTTGCCCCTGCTGTATGTTATGACTCTACTTCTATATGGACAGAATGCCAGTACATCGAAGTGAACCTAAACACGCCCCTTTCTAGGTACCCAAACTGTCCAATCAATGAAAATGTCTCAGCCACAACCATTGCATTACTGTCCAATCACAGCTTGGGTTTGACACCACACTGGGGTGAGGTAGCCACTGTCCCTGAGACTGGCCCAATCCAACAGTGGCATTAATCTCTATGGGGTGTGCTTATAAGCCTCTGGCCCCAGTGATCTGGGGGCTAAATGCAAAAAGACTAAGACTGCAGGAAACTGGGAACTCTGTTAAGGTAAGATGGGTTGATGTGATGTCTAATACTACTATATAGGCCTCTGTGTTCTGTATGGAGCATTTACGCAGGACTCTAGAATAAATAATAGGTTGTTGCATTTTGATGTAAAGTTAAGACTGTAACACGTGACTAGCACTCTTTAGAGATACAAATGTACGAAACTGAAATTTCGATACGCAAAACTAACCCTTTATTCAGCTTTCTTTCTCATAGCATCCCATCCTCCTACCAGCATCAGCACTTCATCCCCACAATGTTCAACACCACTGTGAATCCCACCACCAACCTCTACATGAACTCTACCATCCCTGGTGGCCCCCGTGAACCTCCACCATGGTACCAATACCCAGTATGTGCCGTGGCCCCGTACGGCTTCATTTTCTACTTTGGGGTCAAGGTGTTCAACCTGGCAGTGGGGACGCCCTGTAACATCCTGGTCATCTGGCAGATTGCAACCAGGAAAAGTGACTCGTCCACCTCTGACATTTTCATCTTTAACCTGGCCATCTTAGATGCCTACTTCTGCCTAATGACGCCCATAGAGATGGTTAACCGGCTGCTGCTAGATGACAGTCGCATTTGGTACTCTCAGAGGTTCGCCTATGGGATCAAGGATGTAGCACCACTCTTTCTGGTGAGTTTTTTGTAAATAATACCATACACCAGAGCAGTGATACATCTCTGTAGGACCTCTGTGAACATGAAATGACAGTAAAAACAGGCCTCTTTTAACCTGTTCCCAGTGATAATACAGGGTCCTGTGAAGCTTGATTCATGTGGCTATGCTCTAAATGCTTTAAGATAATTTTGCAATTATGCAGAAAGGTCAGACATACAGCTACACTTGGGTAGAAGCAAAAGAGAATGCATGTTTTCTGCTGTATCTTATGATGTTAAACTGCTCATAAACCTGTTAAGTCATATACACAATACATATGTTTTAGTTCATACATAGTAATTAATAATATACTTTTAAAATTTTAAACGTAATGGGTTTGTATATTATACACATGAATCTCATAAAGGTATTCTGACTGATTGCTTCAAAGCAGAGTTACACATTTATACATTTTAATATAAATTATTTAACACAATTTTTGTGGTCAGATTAACTAAGCTCCCTTTGAAGTTTTAGGTGTTTCTTAGAACTTCTGTGTGTTATTCAGTGGAAAAGGTAACTTCAACTTCAAGCTTTATTACAATTTTCTACCTATTACGTTGTCTGGAGAATTTACTGGAGGGTTTCTGGATGGATGTTCTGCAAATATTCTTCAGCTTTTGATCAGTTAACATTCTAGTCTGGTAATTTTGAGAAAAACGCTCTCCAGACACAAACTCAAACACATTTTCATAGTACTAAAGCCAGTGAAATATAAGTATACTGCAACATGATATTCTTTTAATAATCTGCTGTTACAGGTGTGTATCTGTCTAGACCGCTACGTAGCCGTGGTCCACCCAGTACTGTTCACTGGTATCCGAGACAATAAGATCCGCATTGGAATTTCAGTGGTGGTCTGGGGCCTCATCCTGGCTTACGGCCTCACCAAGTGCACCCTGGGAGTCATGAGCGTCAATGAGGTCTTCAGCGGTGTCATCCTCTTCGCCTTTGCAGTCATGGTCTTCTGCAACCTTTCCGTCATCTGGGTCCTTAGACGTTCTGTGGCGGGAAAGGAGGAGATGCACCCAGTGAAGAGGAAGGCCTTCAAGATGGTCCTGATCATCCTGGCCATCATTGTGGTCAACTACCTGCCGCCAGTGGCTCTCATGCCCTTCGTGTCGTACTACTCGTTCGTGGCGTTCCGCTGCCAGATCAGCATCAGCGTGTTCTCCATCATGGATCTGAGCTGCAGCGTCGAGCCTCTCCTCTACATCACCAAGATGGAGCGCGTGGACGGCAGGTGCTGTGGGCGGAGTTTCTCTAAGAAGCCGCAAGATGTCAAGGTGTGATCAAGTGTGAAGAAGCATAAAGTTTAGGTATTACCTACAACCTTTCTATGTTTCACAGTTCGCCGGGCAATCCAAGACGAAGAAGACGTTTTTTTTCCCCTTAATATACGCTATTGCTGTCTGAACACCTGCAACCAGCGGAGGCATTATAGGAAATAGAGGAAACCACTGACACCAATAGAAATAGAGTAACGTAAGATGGCTGGTCCAAAATAAATAATTTGAACTGAGGTAGATTATTCCTGTAAGAGTTGAGTTCGCTCTCTACATCTTCTGTGACAACCGGTATTAGAAACCCTTCTCGTTAACACATACACCTCTTTGTGTTCGTTTTAATGACAGCCTGGGGCAGAAACTAGTTTACAGAGCACTGGCTGAGCACTTAGCCAGTCGTTAATTAAGCCTCCTAATCAGAGCACTGTGGGACCAATTAGCATGTGTAAGTGGTTAACAAACTAAATATGTAACACACTGTAATCAATAAAGCAACACAAACAGGCAGTGTCATGACTGTATTCCATCATTTAAGCAACAAATCACCTAATAAGAGTTCTTTGAGAGTTGAAAACTGCTGAATATAATTTAAACTCTCAAAATTAATAAACTATTAAAAATGATACTGTAACTTGCGTGTGGTTGACTTTCTTTGGATATGAAGCATTTTCAGTTTTACAGAACAATGACTTATTGGTGCAAAAAAATAATAATTTCCATTTATGATGACCAGTGAGATGAACAGGTCTTTATTTTCATCAAAACTTAATAAATTGAATGTGCCTTTCAGTGTTTGTTTGTCATTTTACAGTACATGGGTTAAAGAACGTGAAGTGCAGAATTAAATAATTAACAGATACTTTTATGAATTAATAAAAAAAACAACTTCAACACAACAAAACATCAGCTGTACCACACTTTAAATGTTTTACATTTTGTTTCAATCAGTTCATTACACTTGCGACTTCTCAACTTGTTATTCCTACATTATTGACAGAGGCACATGTCACAATGTTAACCAACTTTAGAGCTAAACTAATTTGGAAGTTATGCAGCCTCGCCATCATTAAATCTTTTTAAAGTTGGTTTACTTAATCAAATCTGAAATTTGTCTATTTTGGATATCTATTCAATTCAATTCAATTCAATCAATGAATTGATTGTTCATTTAATGTAATCTAATGTCTTTAATACTTTGAAGCCAGCTTATATACTTGCTGGTGCAAAGCAGCAGCTCTGTCCCGTCGTGATTAGCCAAAGATAAGACTAGGGTACATTAATGAGGCTGACAGTAAAAATGATGGCAATGACAAAGTGAAACAGGTTATTAGTCTTTGTGGAATTCATTTGCAGCAGGAAATTAAGGTGCTTCTGTTATTCTGTTATTTTATACACTCCTTGTTAATGAATAAGGCAGAAAGGAATTCCTTTCACAGCTAGAAGTAACTTTTAGGAGTTTAAGGACTCAAACTACAGATAACAGCACTAAGTCTGAGTAATTTTGATGTGTAGCTCCGTCAGACTTTCCAGGCTGGCCTCAGGTCCGTCCTCTGAGGTCACATATCCAGGATACGTGGGGTAAAACTGGGGAGGTGGTGGTTTCGCTGTGTCTCCTGTCCCTGATGATGAAGGTAGGAACAGTGGTATCAACTTGGCGTGAGCGTAGTCAATCTCAAAACCCTCAAAAATGAGCCCCACCCCCCAGGCACCCAACCCCTCCTCAAGAAGCCTCGACACCTCCCAGGTTGCCAGCACCAGTCCCTCATAGTCCCCTTTTTCTAGTTGGAATATATCAGAGGTCAAAGGTCGCCGTGGGACCAGCACAGTAAATCCAGGGGAGTTGGGGAAAGGAGTGAGAAAGGCCACGTGATCCCCGTCATCCCACACCCTCCACTGCTGCTCCTCCCCGCGAACGATGCGCGAAAACAGGCCAGGGTGAGCCGGATCGTCCCCAAGGAAAGTCAGATTGGGTGGGGCGTCAGGCAACGGGAGCTTGGCCCGAATCTTGGCCTGGATTTCAGTCAGGCTGGATTCACTCCATCTGGGAGCGGTCTTGGAGGTGCAGTACCCCGGGTCGTGGGCGTTGTGCTCCTCTTCTCCTGCCAGGTGAGGGCGCCACTCTGCATCCAGACCGTGTAGAGGAAGGACACAGATCTGTGAAATGAAAATAAATGGACATTTATTAACTCAAACTCTGATTGACACAGGAGTTATTCAATCTACAGTTAATCAAAGCGTTTAGATTTGCTGTTTCAAACATCTTTGGATGGCTGACTAGTTTAGTTGTGGTAAAAAAAAAAGGTTTCAATAAACTTATTTTGGTACTCTAAAACTCTAGTAGTGAATCACTTCCCATGCACTACAGCCAACCAGTCTATCCACGGTTCAAAGCGGCCCTTTACCTGCGCAGGTCGGTCTCGGTGGGGTCTGCTGATCAGCGCACACCTCCGAACTGCCAGCCTGTCACACAGCAGCTCTGCAACGGCTCTCGCCCCCAACAGCCAGGGTAAAAACTCACGCTTCTCCAGATGGAAGACGCTGCCTCCCAGGCTGCCAGGGGTGCTGCGCTCCAGGATGACAGAGCCTGGGGTCCAGGGCCGGGGGTGAAGGTAGGCCACCAGCCCCTCTGACTCCCAGATGACGTGACGGGGAAGAGTGGAGGACATTCTGTGGAGCCAGGAGGGAAGATACAGAGAAAGAATTACAAATCAGATGCTAACATTGTGTTATGTTGTTGTTACTGTATATATGAAAAGTCTGAATCAGTTGGAAAATATACAGATTCACATAAAAAATGTAATTATCTCATACAATATTTGATATAGACCGAATAACGATGCTTAAAATAACCAAATATAACAATAACTACAACAGCTACACATTCATCAGTAATAGTAATCTATTACTAATATCCACTTTAATAACATCCACATGGGCCAGTTTTTCTGCATAACATGTAGTTTCACTTTTGATACTTTATGTACATTTTTCTACCAATATTGCTGTACTTTTACTTAAGAAAACATATTAATACAAGTAATATAATATGCATTACAACAGTATGTTCTTATTGTGGCATTTACTTAAGTACAGGTTCTCAATACGTCTGTCATCAGTGATCTATGGTGGACACGGCTATTTTTTCGATAAAGTTTTGTGTTTATGAAGATGACAGATAATTAGATAATTTAAAAAACATGTTTAGGAGCATTATAAATGTTTGTTTTTCAAGTTAGTTCTTGTTTCAAGTGTTTTTTGTTGTAATAAAAAAATGCTTCATCAACATTACATCAGCTCTAAAACTTTACATCATTACCACGTGACAGTGGTTACGACGGCTTCCGTAGTATTTAACAAAAATGGACAGATTTAAGTTTTCTGTCAAATTTATCGTGGTTAGATACAATACTGTGTATTTAAGTTGGACAGTTACACGCCAGAGGTCGTAGTTAAAGTAAATCTGTCAAAACACAAACCAAAAGTAGAAGTGATGGAGTCATTTCGCCCCCACACTAATATCGACTTAAATAAAAGTTTAAATTGTACTGAAATACTAGCTGCTAAACAAATTACATAACTGCCGAATCCCGTTGTGTCTGTAGGCGACATGGAAGCGAATCAGTGATGGAGTAAAGTTTTTACTAATCTATGAAAAAAATACGACCCAACCATAAAACACCTGTTTTTCAAATGGAGTTTGGTTTAGCATCGCCTGTCCCACTCCCGTCGGGCGCAGAGGGCATTTGTAACGTTAACAATTCAAATAATTTAAGCTGACCTACCTTCTAATAATGAACCTTGTGCACAGCATAAAGTAACGTAGAAGTAACGGGAGTGGGGCTCAAACCGACCTGTCTTCTACTGCTCTCGGCTCGTAGTAAAAGCTGGCGTAATAAGCACACACAGCTATGAAAACAGAGACAGCGGTTCCTCTTCGCCACATCCGTCAGTGCGAGGAGAAAAGAAAGTAAGACATTATAAAGGGACACGTTGCTAACAGAAAACAACCATACCCACTGATTGTATTGGCCAGACTAATGCCTCTCCCACTTCCAGTCACTTGACAACAACTTCTTCTTCCTAGATTTATCTTTTTCTTCTTGTGGATTGATGTCGGGTTGCAACCATGACCTACAAGGTGCATACCGCCACCTACTGTACCGCAGTGTGTAGCATGAGTTGTGGTTATGTGAGACTACTTTACATTATAATAAAATAAAATAAAAAATCCTATAGCATAATATCCTTCAATTCCACATCAGCGTTCTGCCCCCCCTCCTGTTGTTCTCAATACACCCTCAAAGATATCTTTTGATTTAGCCTCTTCCCTGTATTTTCTTCCTAGATTTATCATTTGAGTTAAAGGTGCATTACTACCATCTGCTGGACTGGGGTGAAGAGCATTAGCCTTAGCAGGATAAACACTACATTTTCTATGCTAAAACAGTTTGAAGGAGTTGATTAAAAAATGGGGGTCAGCCCTATGTTCCCACAGCTCTGTTTGGTTAGGGTTAGGGGGAGAAAGGGGGACAAAATCTGATACAAATTTATGAAAAAGGAAATGTGGAAACATAGGGCCTAATTTTGAAAAAAATCTTAGAAATGTGGGAACACAGGGCTGTGGAAACATATGCACGCTCCCAAAAAATGACTTCCATGATGCATTCCCAGGATTTCCTAACGTAATGTAATGTAATATCACATTCAGTAGCACATGGCTGACTAGTGTGTGCATGATTCACCTATTGTATTAAATGATTGACTGAAACAACCACCCTCCACCTCTCAGCTAGGATTAATACCAATTATCTTTAACATTATAACCCAGAGACACTTAAATAGCCTTTATCTAATATATTATATAGACCTACTCATCATTTTGTACTAAAACTAAACACAAAAGGACCAGTGTGTAGGATTTAGTGGCATCTTGCAACCAACTGAATACCGCTCGCCTACCAAGCGTGTAGGAGAAACTACAGTGGCCCTATCTACAGCCAGTGTTTGACCGTTTGACCGTTCTGGGCGGACTCCATAGAGGAGGACCAGCTCCCTCTGTAGATAAAAACAGCTCCTCCTCTTAGACCAACAGTAACGGGTATTGTGGATCTCTCTGAAACATGTGTGCCCCACGGTCCATTAAATAGGAGTCTGATAAGATACTAGTCCTATATTTTTTTTGTCTAGCCATTTCTCATTTGTCTCAAACTACAAAATGCAATGGATTTGAATCAATACAACAGAATAAGTAAAGACAAGCACTACATGTTTCATAAATCAGCAACTAAAAATGCAATAACATAATAAAATATAATAATTACATTGTATATGTGCTCTCCTCCATCACAAAAACTTTTTTCTGTAACTTTGCTTCAGCTCCTCTTGGTCATATTGGAAATAAAATCTCTCCAGTGTTTTTTAGACCTGACATAAAATGTAGTTTAGGTCATCCATCAAAGTGAACATTGTGTCTGATTTTAGTTTTGTCAGAGTTACACTTTTGTGATATACAATGATAATGTTATTATTAAAGTTAATTTGGAAGATCTGGACTGTAGTGGCAATCACATAACAAAAAAAAAACATACATTTGTCATAAAAGCTGGCAATTCTGTAAGGTATTTAATAATTATGCAAAGAATAGCTTTTTTAATACCACAGTGAACTGAATGGGAACCTGGTAGAGGATGTCTGTGCCCACATGCTGTGTTTTGCTTTAAAAAGTATATTTTGTATTAAGAGGACAAAAGCAATGTTAACACTTCTGATAAATATTGGTCTGCCCATGTACTGAGGGTCATTCTGACCTGTGTCAGCACAGCTTATGGTCATGTAACTGTTGACACAGATCACCCAAAGTGTGCCGTAACGTTCGAACGAAAGGTCAAAGAGTGTTTTGACTCTCCAACAACAAATAGATAACGTGACATTCAATAGTGGCTGTTGTTTAGGGGGCTCCTGATCACCTAATATGACATAGAGGTCACAAAATAATGTTTTTTCTTTTCTTTTTTGTATGTAGTCTGCTCTGCTGTGGAACTTGAAATCTTTGTTTGCAGTTTGAATAAATTACACCAGGGGGCGCCCTTGAGTTGCAGACAAAAGGGAGTGACTTACTCACTGGTAGAATAAAAGGTTCAGAAAGAAATTAAACACGATTTCTAAGAAAAACAAAAACAAAAATAAACCAAAAAAACCCTTTGAATCATTACCATTTGTCTAACACACCATCTACACCAATATGCCAGTTTTCGGTTTCAACAGAGGGTAAATTCCTCTTCGGGTTGTTCTCAGAAGTATTATCTCTTCCTCTTTCCGCAGAATGTCACCGGAAAAAAGCCCTCAGACACTGTGCATTTGTGAACATACTTCTCCTCTGTCTCCACCCATTTCTCAGTTACTACAAATGACTCACCACACACACACACACACACACAATATTTTTATACTTGTGAGGACCCTCATTGACACACAATACATTTCCTATAGATTCTTATCTTAACTTTACCCAAACATAAACCTCAATCCTAAAAAAAAGTATTAACCCTTAAAGAGCAATATTGAGTAAGTGAAGAACAGATATCCTTACTTTCCAAAAAAGTCCTCATTCCTAACCTCTAAATCTCACATTGGTGCTCACAAAGGTAGACATATCAAATCACACACACCAATAAAGGTTTTACTGCCCTCGCACTTATGAACTTATTAAGAAAAAAGTAGTATTTGAATAAGTCTCAAGGGAATAAAAGGAAGAGGAAAAAGGAACAAATATGCTCTTGTGCAACACAGTCACTTATATTTATCTATGCTAATGCGTAACAAATATATAATGCAGGGTGGCTTGATGCATTTTTAGAAAAACTGACAATTCATTTTTGCATTTACTGTAAAACATACGGGGGGATATTGTGTCTCTTTTTAGTCTATTCAATCATTTCCAGTATATGAAAAAATAAATGTTAATCCCTGTAGTTTGCATGTGGTTTCACATGAAAGACAGTCAGGTACAGAGAACAAATGTGTCGTCCCACTTTCTGGTAGTAAATCTGTCTTCCTAATCTGCAGCCCATGACCTCAGTAATGAGCTCAGCTGCTCAGAGATCCTCTGCGGAGCATATCAGCTGAAGACCAGAACGATGATTCACTCAGCCAGAGTGGGCAAAGTGTCACGCTGGGTGAAATTCAGGAGTGGAGTACAGAAATACCTAAAGATGACTTAAAGGTGCTCTTATAGAGTTTTAACTCTGTATAAAGTTCCTTGTGTAAAAATAAGCTTAAGATCAACAAGTTAACTTTCAACAGGATCCCTTTAAGAAAAGATATTAGAGCTGCATAGCTTAACCCTTTTAGGTTCATGTTTAAGTTCATGTTAGAACAAAAAATGATTCAGGAAATTATTTGGGGCTTTCAAGAGTTTAAAAAGGTACATAAGACTGATTTCATACTGTATTATTTAAATGTATGGATTAAAAGAAAATAAATAATTCTATGTTTGTTAAATATATCAATGAGTCCTGCTTCCAGAGTTTAAATTATGGACGAAATACCATTACCTTAGAAGCACTCCTGTATTTGAATGCCTTTCTTCTTTTACAAACTGCCCTGAAGGCAACATATTGCTGTTTTACATAATCCTTGACTTTAGGTGGAATATACATCGCTGGTGTGGCCTGCATGCCTCTCTTCATCCACTGTTTCCTTTGTGTTGTCTTAATGTATTGTATGTGTTTCATCATGTGAAATTATGAGGTACTTTTTTATTTTGTATCTCAATTGGACCTTCCTTGATAAATAAAGTGTCAAACCAAACAAAATAACGTAGTTATAGTAACGTCATTCTATTCAGATGGGTAAATTACTTTAACTGCTTCACAGTGTCTAGGTTTACTTTGCTTTACTGGTTCAGAATGACAGTGTGAAGGAGGAAACATTTACTGACACAGGATGTGATGTTACAAGCTCTTGCGTCAACACAGATGTCTAAAGAGTGATGACCCACCCCACAAACACTGACTGCAGGAGGAATTAGGATTCTCTGATATGAATCAAACCGAAAAAAGAAAAAAAAAAAAGATACCACTTCATCTATTGCTCTCTGGGTCATGAAAGGGTTAAAACATCAGGAGGAAGTGGCCTTTTCATTTCTCTGTTTGACAGGGACTAACTAATGCCAAAACTTCTGTTTAATGTTTTGGCCACATGTAGTTTATGAGTGTATCCTGCTCTACTGGGTCATGTTGACAAATGGCAGGAGCTGTAGTAAAGTGAACCTGCTGACGTGGATTTGCTCATGCCCATTGCAGACGGAAAATATATACAGAGTATAAGGGAGCGTTTCTCATAAACTGTTTCTATATCTCTTAATTTCCATTTTTCATTGCTTTTGCTGCTACCTCATTTCTTAAATCTTAAAATAGTTTGGGGGCCCACAATGGTTTGGTTGCCATGGCTGATATGGTTGTTGGAAGTTAATACCAAGAGTGAATCTGATATTTTCAGAGTTTCATGACAATATTCATTCAGATCAGCTCATTTGCTGGGGAGAAAAAAATACAAGAGAACAACGTTTTTTACAGAATTTGACTGTGTCATGAGTGGGAAACAGTCTGTATCATCCCATACATCATCCAAATGACAGACTAATGACATTCTTAGTGGAGTACGACACTTCATAGTAAAAACAAAGGAGCTAAGGAGCATGACCATCCCAATACACAGCATAGTGTGGAATAGTGTGGAACAAGACTAGTGTACAGCCATGCTAGCAGCTCTGTGAGGGTGTACTTAGACACAGCAATGCTTTGAGCTACATAAATGCTAACATATAGGTATAATGTCTACCATGTTCACCATATTAGTGCAGCTGACTGATCATAATACCAGTGTTGCAGCTTATTAGTTGTAAACCTACGGACACATTTTAGACCTTGTGTCTTGGCACCACAAAACTTGACAATCCATCTCATATTTGTTGACAGTTTTTTTAAGCAAAAGAACGTGAACATCTGTTTTAGAAA